GAGGATGAAGGGAGGAGTTAATATTGAGGGATGAAGGGATGCATATTGGGATGAAGGGATACGTCTAGGTATAAAGGAAGGAGGATGAAGGGATGAGGCAAGGATGAAGGGATGCATGTAGGGATGAGGAAAGGAGGATGAGGGGATGAAAGTAACTAAACTTCATTTTATACAAATCCACCAAAGTTTTCTGTATTAATCTGTATTAAAACTTTGCCACATTTCAGAGCAGAGAGGCCACGTGCTCGTGAGCGACGATCCGGCTGTGTGTGATGACGACGACAAAGAGGATTGTTTGCGAATCGCACACAAGGAAAAAGACTTCATCTCTCTCCTCTCCTGCACACCTGGTCCGTTTAATTCACAAATAATCTCATTCTAAAACTCATGACAGACTGAAGATGAAAGACAATAAACCTATGTTGTTTTTTTCGTGTTTGTGCTGCAGACACCGTCTCATACAGAAATCTGAATCTTGGGTCTTATCTTATCCTGTTTATTGTTGACGTATTCAACACCGTCGCATGTGAGGATGACATCGAGGAACTTTTCAGAAAAGTAAGTGTTATCTCTTCGTAATCTGTTCTGAGTGTAAAGTATTCTTGCTTTATGTGTTTCAATGGAAAATAATATCAGTAATGAAGATGGTCTTGTTTTATAAAATCGTATTCACTGTTTGTTTCTACAGGTCATGCAACGCTTTGAAGATTACTGCCTTGATAACAAAAGGCAGATGCCCACCAAAGACAGATGCACACTTACAAAACGCTTCTACTTTTATCCAGGTCTCAATGTTGTTTGAGACAAACTTTGTCCTCACATTTGAAATGATGATTTTAATTCTGACCAAGCGATCAGGGGCCAGACCCTGTGTGTGAAGTGACGGTTGACACTTCTTGTTATAAACGTGTGTGAAGATTCTCAGTCGTCAAGGTTATATTTTCAGGAGTTGTACACGTTTTAATCTGATTCCATCTACATTTCCTTCAATCAAACTCATTCACCTGATCCTCTGTGACTAAAATCACATTAATATAAAAAGTCGTCACTGGCCCACGTCTTTGTCACAGTCTTTTATTATTCAATTATTTTTAAGTACTATTTTCATAACAAAGCTCTTGTAGTTAAAGTGAATAACATAACATGAATGGTAATGTTGAGATTATGTTAGCAATTGTGTAACAAGCAGTTAAGGATAGTGAAGTGAAACTTTTCATACTTTTGTACTTTTACTTCTGTAAGATTCAACAACAACTGTTATGTTATGTAATTGAAATAAATATGAGAATTGAAAAGAAAAAACAGACAAATTGCGTCTCTTTGCATGTTCCCTTTAAACATCATAATTCTCTACCTCAGTAGTAGTGGATGGATGTGTTTGAAGAGTGGATATGAATGTGCATTTATTTTTTTCTTTAGATTTTTTATTATTAGACATTTATTGACAACACCAGGTAGAGATAGGGGAAATAATAATTTCATTGCATTGATAACTTGTTATCCTTGAATCCTAACTGGACTCTAAAGAAAATCGTCTCTGTAAGTAGATACTGCAAATCAAAACACATCAAACTGAATGTGATTTTTCAGACAAAATTTACTTGAAATAAAAATTAAAAAAACTGATCAAACAAACATAACCATTTCGTCACAATACAACACAAAGGCAACAAGTCGAGTAGGCAACACGGTAACATGGTTGCATTGTGCACGTCTGATGAGTCGCCAAAAAACTGAGATGAGTCTTTCACGGGGCTACTTCAAATTCATACTGACTGAAGTTCATTCGTACGAATAAACAGAGATGTAGTTTGACAGGAGGATGTGCTGTGTTTAAATGTCAGGGTTAATAAAATTTAAAAAAAAAGACAGCACAACAAGCGTTTGACAGAACTGAGTGAATCAATCCAACTCGACTAGACTCCATTTTAACAGCTTCTTTGAACATACTGGCAGTGTTAGAGAGCTTTTT